TTGGAGGAGATCTCAATAGAGGAGCTCTTGGGATCTCTCCAAGTTCATGAACAATGAATGCAAAAGAAGGCTAGTTCCATAGTTTTGGAACAAGTACTAGAGTCAACATTGACTCTAAGCAATCATGGCTCACAAGGTAGAGGTTGTGGTCGTGGTCATGGTAGAGGCAGGGGACGTGGTCCCCAACAGCAAACCACTCAAAATCAAGTGGAGACCCAAAGCTTTAGAGGACGAGGACGAAGCAATCGTGGAAGATCCACACCTGGGCGTGGAAGCAACAAGAATGTTCAGTGCTATAACTGTCACAAGTTTGGGCACTATGCTTCAAATTGTTGGCACAAAACTAAAGACCAAACCAATCTTTCCGAAGCAACAAATGATGTGGGTAACAACTCTACGCTTCTTCTTGCTAATGACGATTCAAGTGTTGAGAATGATGCTTGGTACCTTGACTCGGGTGCTAGCAACCACATGTGCGGGAAGAAAGAACTTTTCATGGAACTCACAGAAGGAGTTCATGGAAGTGTGAGCCTCGGAGATTCTTCAAAACTCCCAGTTGAAGGCAAATGGAAGATTAAAATCTACCAAAAGGATGGTAAGCCCGAGTATATTTCCGATGTTTACTATATTCCTAACATGAAAAGTAATATTCTTAGCATCGGTCAATTACTCGGAAAGGGATACAAAGTATATATGGAGAACAACCATCTTTGGTTGAAAAATGCAAATGGAGGCCCCACAGCTTGTGTTAAGATGACAAGGAACCGCATGTTTCCCTTGCATCTAAACACGAAAGTCGACAAGTGTTTTCAATGACTCATGGAGAATGAGTCATGGAGGTGACATCTTCGCTTCGGTCATCCAAACTTCAGCGGTTTGAAGTTACTGTCTACAACTGACATGGTACAAGATCTACCAACAATTAATCTACCGAATCATATTTGTGAAGGTTGTGTAATTGGCAAGCAACCACGACTTCCTTTTCCCAGTGGAAAATCATGGATAGCAAAGGCACCATTGTAACTTGTTCACACCGACATCTGCGGACCGATCGATCCCGTCTGTTTGGGAGGTACGTCTCTTTGGGAGGTAATAGATATTTTATAACCTTCATTAATGACTTCAGTAGAAAGTTATGGGTGTACACTCTTAAAGAAAAATCTACTATCTTTACTACATTCAAGTATTTTAAAGTTTTAGTTGAAGCAGAGAGCGGCCACAAGCTAAAAATTCTTCGATCTGACCGAGGTGGTGAGTACACCTCAAATCTATTTCAAGAATATTGTAGGGAGCAAGGTATAAAGAGACAGTTTACTACTACCTACACACCACAGCAAAATGACATTGCAGAAAGAAAGAACCAGACCATCCTCGACATGACATTGCAGAAAGAAAGAACCAGACCATCCTCGACATGACAAGAACCATGCTTAAAGAAAATGGATTGCCAAAACAGTTCTGGGCAGAAGCCGTGGCGTGCTCAGCTTATTTGCTCAACCGATGCCCCACAAAGATAGTGAAGAACAAGACACCTCAAGAGGCATGGAGCGGTTACACGCCTAATGTGGCACACCTACGAATTTTTGGTTGTGTTGCATATGCTCAAGTACCTGAAGTCAAAAGGAAGAAGCTTGACAATCACGGTGAAAAATGTATTTTCATCGGATTTAGTGAGGAGTCGAAGGCATACAAGCTCTACAATCCACTAACCAAGAAACTAGTTGTTAGTAGAGACATTGTCTTTAATGAAGAAGAAGCATGGAACTGGAGCAATGAAGATCAACCCGTGGTGAATGAACCTGATGAGTCTCTACACGAGGAACCATCACTAGCTACACCACCATCTCCTCCACATTCTACACCCTCTCCTACAAGGGGTTCTCCATCTTCTGGGGAAGGTAGTAGCAGCGGATCTACCGTGCAATGAGGTCCCATCAAAATGAGAAGCCTCAGGGAGATCTATGAGTAGATAGAAGAAGACGAAGAGTTAAATCTCTTCTGCTTATATGCTGATCATGAACCTCTCACCTTTCAAGAAGCTGTAAAAGAAGATTATTGGCGAACAGTAATGGAGGAGGAGATCCACGCCATCCAAAAGAATGACACTTGGGAGTTGACAACTCTTCCATAAAATCACAAGGCAATAGGGGTTAAGTGGGTGTACAAGATCAAGAGTACAGCAAATGGTGAAGTTGATCAGTACAAGGCGAGGTTTGTAGCGAAAGGTTACAAACAAAAGTACGGCATCGACTATGAAGAAGTCATTGCTCCGGTTGCTCGACTGGTTACGGTGAGACTATTAATTTCACTTGTAGCTAATCACAGGTGGAATATATATCATTTGGATGTCAAGTCAGCATTCCTCAATGGCGTTCTTGAGAAAGAGGTGTACGTGCAACAACCAGAAGGCTTTCTTGTGAAAGGGCAAGAAGACAAAGTGTACCATTTGAAGAAAGTCTTGTATGACTTAAAGCAGGCACCACGGGCGTGGAATGCCCGAATTGATGGCTATCTTCATCAAAACGGCTTCATTAAATGTCCCTATGAACACGCCATCTACATGAAGAGGAACCATAAAGGCAAATTTCTAATGATTTGTCTTTATGTTGATGATTTATTGTACACAGGAAGTAGTACCGAGATGCTTGCTGAATTCAAGGTGGCAATGTTTAATAAATTTGAGATGACGGACAATGGATTTATGTCCTATTTTCTTGGCATTGAAGTGAAGCAGCAACAAGAGGGGATTTTTATATCCCAGAAGAAGTACATGAAGGAGATCTTAGAGAAGTTCAAGATGAATGAATGCAACCCTATGAACACCCCAGTAGCCATCGGAATGAAGCTATCAAGAGAAGAAGACGGACATTTTGTGGATTCAACTCTTTTCAAAAGTCTAGTTGGCAGGCTGAGATACTTGACGATCACAAGGCCCGATATTACTTATGGAGTCGGACTTGTAAGTCGCTATATGGAGACACCGAATGAGTCTCACTGGCTAGCTGCGAAGAGGATACTAAGGTATATCAAAGGCACACTCAACCTAGGTCTCTTCTATACATATGATGAAAATGTACAACTAGTTGGTTACTCAGATAATGACCGGGGAGGTGATCAAGATGAGAGGAAAAGCACCACAGACTATGTCTTCTATCTTGGGTCAACTGTATTTTCATGGACGTCAAAGAAGCAAGGAGTTGTAACTTTATCTTCATGTGAAGCATAGTATGTGACGGCTGCATCTACAGCATGTGAAGCAATTTGGTTGCGAAACATATTAAAGGAGTTGGATCATCCACAAGAAGACTCGACCATAATTTTTATGGACAACAAATCAGCCATCCAGCTTGCAAAGAACCCAGTACATCATGGGAGGAGCAATCACATAGATACACGGTTTCATTTTCTCAGAGACTGTGTAAAGTAGAAAATCGTTGAACTGAAGCATTGTCACACCACTGAACAAGTAGCGGACATATTCACCAAGCCATTATCAGGTGAAACTTTCATGAGGCTAAGAGACATGTTTGGCATAAAGACATTTTGATTTGAAGGGGTGTGTTGGAATATCAAATTAAAATGTTATAATAAATGAGGTTAATAGCATGAGTTTTAGAAGTGCAAGGGTCATAAGTTTAGAAGGGGAAGAAACATAGGTTATGGAAGAATAAGAGTAACTTACTCATTTATGATATTTATCTTTATGGCATTAAAATAGGAGTTTAATTTTTGACTATTGGTATGCCTAGACGTTTTTGTTTTGAAGCCTATATAAAGGGCTATTGTAATCCTTGTTTGAACGTTTTTGTTTTGAAGCCTATATAAAGGGCTATTGTAATCCTTGTTTGATATGAAGAAAGAAAATTGAAGAAATATAGCCTATATAAAGGGCTATTGTAATCCTTGTTTGATATGAAGAAAGAAAATTGAAGAAATATAAGTGAGTTTTTTGTTTTCATTTGAGAGAGTTCTAAGTTCGTAAACTCAAGGGTCATCACACACACACTCTCTCTCACACAACAAGTTTAATAATCTCCTTAAACTAGAGAAAGAAAACTTGTGTAGAGGAGAATTTGAGCAGAGAAAGATTTAAAGATGTTATTTTGCTTGTAAATTGGTACTTGCTGTTACAAAAGCACAAAAAGAGTTTGGAGAAAAATTAGCTTGTCTAATAGTTACATGATACACTCCTCACTTGTGGCCTAGTGGTTAGGGTTTGCACATTGGCTCAAAACGTCAATGGTCTATTCGTGTCTATGACATGCCTGTTCCCAATTTCTAATTATTAGGCAGTGTAACACCTATGCTATTCACCTAGATCTGGACTGCGAAAGGATGTGGCTCATATTTCTTCACTAATTACAATAGATAATTAAATTTAAAGATAAAACTAACTTCTAATTATTAATTCCTTATCTCGTAATTTAAAGATATTCGGATAGGATAATAACTTTTTATCTCTTTACTAATTACTCTAGATAATTAAATTTAAAGATAAGAATCAACTTCTAATTATAAATTTCTTATATTTCGATTACATATTTTCACATGAAACATGTGCATCTGATATATATTTAAATATTTTTACCATGATTTCTTATTTAGTTAATTATCTATATTAATTAGAACATGATAACAATGTAATATGTAAAGGGATCAAGGTTATTTTTTGCCATGAAAAGTTTTTCCAAAACTTACACTTTTATAAGGAGTATGATATGATATGATATGAAGTATGAAGTATGAAGTATGTTATGATATGATTAGGCATTGGAACACTTGTCTATTCACCTGGGTCTGGACTGCGAAAGGATGGGCCCAGATCTCATAGTTTACTTGGCTGGTATGAGACCGAGGTTTCCTTGCATAAAAAAGGAAAAAAAATACACGGCACTACTAACAACACAGCTTAACATACGATCATTCGTAAAACTGCCAACACTATAAATCGTAATATGAGAGAAAGCGAAAATTTTATGTTACTATCATCCATTAATTGTTTACACAAGATCATCATTTTAACTATTTATAGACCGATAGTTCTCTTTATACACAAGAAAATATACTTTAGATAATAGCGATTTCACATTAAAAATAGCCTATTTGGCAACTTCACTTCTATTGTGCTTCGTGTGAAAGGAGTATTCAATTTTCCTGCAACAAATATTTAATCATATTTGCACATACAGGGAACCTTTCATAGCATCATAAAATTTTCATACTACACAAGCCACACTCCTACACAACAGAGATATCTTGAGAGTTTATTGTTTGCGAATATGTGTAAGTCAGAATTGAACTTTACGGAGAACATCCCCTTATTCCTCTTCTCCTGTTGGCAAAGCAAACAACTCATTTTTAGTCTACCTAAAGTATAAAAGGGTTATCTACCTCAAATAAAATTTATACAGTATATATTTTTTTTCTCAAAATGACAAAACTTTTGGAGTAAATCCAATATCACAGTCAATCGAACTCAACCTGATACCATAAATCCCTCCAATCTTCCGTCAATTCAACCAAAAACTTGACCGAAACTATAAAATCTGTCGCAAATTATGACATATCAAGATAAAATCTATCACAAATTTTGACATACCAAGATATCCTTCTCGCCAAGTTAAACAGTTGATTCCTGTAAGGACTCTTGTAGTCAGAGATCGCTCTGTCCATTGTCGCAATCATCTTGCTCAGTGTATATAGACCCGCTCGCCTTTTCATCCCTGAACCTATTCTAACCGTGAACAGAGAGAACCTTTCTGTAATGAAATTTGACATATTGATTATTGCTTCCGATTAGTCTCATTATTTCTCAAAGAAAAATTGAATGTATAAACAAGAAAATTACAAATATATGAGATACATACGATAACAAAAAGATGCGCGCATCATCCTGAACAAGAACAGATAAAGCATTTCTCTACTTAGATGTTGTAATAATTGCTATTCATCAGTCTCACTGTTTTTCAAAGTAGAATGACAGTCAAAGTTATATACAGTCCATAGGGGCATAAACACAAATTACAAATAAATGTGAAAGATGCATGTATCCTTGGATTTTTATTTAAAAGGCAACAATTACTTGATAAAAATAGTACAAGCAGAAAGAAGCATATAGATGCAGATATTTGATAAGAATTATATAATCAAACAACTACTCAGGTTTAATACGATGAGACAGGGAGAAACTAACAAAGGGAGAAACAATGTAGGTGATGAATTAATCAAACAAGGAATTAGGCTCATTCAATAATCCCCCAACAATAAAATTTTATCAAATCAGTACTATTTGCCAAAATAAATAAATCAAACCCATTAACGGTAACTTTTAAAAGATTCCTGCGCTCAATGTAAACAAACTAATTAACAAAACCCATAACAATAATGCTAACAAAGATTATTTATACAAACTAACAATTTAAATAAATTCCGTATAAAACAAGATTATCAATCGGTACCTTAACAATCAAACGATCTAAAATTCACTTACCTAATTAACAGTAAAGATAGAACTAGAACTCTTAAATCATCACTAATTTCCTGATGTTTATAATAAAAAAATAAAGACATTGTTATTATGTCCTCCTAAATTATTACTTCCATAATTATAGGAACTCATAATCATAATTATGAGAAATAAAGAGTCCTTACTTTATAAATATAGAAAGATCAATAAATTCCTTATATAAAGCCTATATAAATCCAACCTTCCTTCACAAAACTCGGCCTTAAATTATAATCAAAACCGGAGCAACGTTTTGCAGTTCTCTCCCCAGAGATTATTGCCGAATTGACGAGATGTCTCTTGAAAAACAACCGTCAATGTCGTCGAGCGATGATCATTGCCGACTCGACAAAAACGTCGAAAAGCTTGTTGAAAAGCAACTGTCCAAAAGGCTGTGGAGTGATCTCTTCAAGATTAGCTGCAAATTTGACGCTGCTCATGATTGGTCGATGATGCTTGTCGAAATCTTGGAGCAGATCTCTGATCGCCTGCCTCTCCTCGACTTAGTAAGATTTCGTAGCGTCTGCAGACAATGGCGATCATCGTCCTCAAGTCGTGCTGAACTATTCAATTTCTCTAAAGATCAACCATGGCTTATCCTCTATGATCTAGACAAGAAGAAAACAGGTATTCCTAAATGCTACGTCTATAGCCAATCTCGTTCACAGTGTTGCACGTTTAAGTTATACGATATCGAGGGCGCCACCATCGTCAAATCCAAGTTTGATTGGGTGCTTGCTCATCACGGTCAGTTCTTCTTCCTCTACAATCCACTTACTTTTGAGAAAATCAACCTCCCAAAACTCAATATAGTCCAGAGTAACTATTCTGGTACCTTCACGTATTGCCCAACTCGCGGAGAGTGCGTTGTATATGTTGTAAATCGAAAGCGTGATTCGTCTTTGAACCTGAGCATTTGTTGTGTTGGCGATAAAAATTGGATTACGCAGTCGATATCTGTCAGGGATGGAATCTGTCGGATGAGTTAGAAGAGCTGGAAGAGGACTGAAACTGAAACTGAATGATGGCGAGAAGATTTGAATAATGGAAGAGGACTGAACCACAAAGCTTGGGGGTCTGTTGTGCAATACCTTTAAGTCTGGGGTTGCTGTAATAAATGTTGAGAGTTTGTTATAAGTAGTTAAGAGTGAGTTACAAACAGTTAAGTCTGTTTGCTAGTTGTTAAGTCCGTGCACGTTTTGTGCACGTTTCTGGTTTTCTTTGTTTTGAGCGACAGTATATAGGAAGAGATTTGAGCTGAGATCATTAGGAATGAAATAAATTGATTTCTTCTCCTCAACTCAATCTCAATTTCTCTCCCTCTCTCAACTTTCCTTCAATTTTCTCTCTAGCAATTTTCTTCTTCTTTGTAGTTCAGGTTCTTCATGGTTAGGAGTGCAGCAAAAAGATTCAGTAGAGGAACAAGGTCCTCTCAATTGGTATCAGAGCAGGTTGAAGCTGAAGTGGGAGCTGAAGATTCGACGGAAGATCAAGCGAGAGCTTCAGCAGATGAGGCGATGCAACATGGAGTTCTCAGCCAGATGACTCGCATGGAAGAGACTCTCAATCAACAGGGACTCATCAATCAAGAAGTAATGGCACAATTGAGAGAGATATCTTCTCAATTGCAAGAGCTCAAGAACACCAAGGCGTCGACCGGCGGAGGACGACGAAAATTTGGGGTCGACGAAAATCGTACGGAGGAAGGAGGTCCGGCGTCATCGGAGGCCGCCGGAGCGACTACAAGAGCGAGAGCTGGAAATACTTTCATCCTGGCCGTGGGTATGTTGACAAAGCGTCGGAGTATTATTTGGTGAAGATGAGCTCCAAATATAATATCTTCGATCGTCAATCTTATAAAGAATCAGAGCGGTGAGTTTAAGGATTTTGATTTTGTTCATTTGTTAGTTGATTTTCGTTCTTTTGTTCATTTTCAGTTAATTTTTTTTTGGTTTGTCGGGAAAGCTTCGTGGTCAAGAAATCAGAAGGATTCGGGCATGGGAAATGGGGGCATGAAGGCGTAGAACGATGAGTATTATGATGTTGACTTTCTGCTTAATTAATGTATGATGTCTTTAATTGTTTGTTAATTTGTGCAATAAAACAGTTTAAACACAGGGAGCCTTTGAGGCCAAAGGGGCCTACTGATGGTTCTGAGGATGACTTGGATGCTGTTACAACTGGTGAGGAGAAATCTGATGATAAAGTATAATTTGGGTTTTCAAAGATAAAACATGTAGGTCAATTGCCTCGAATTCACTTGAAATCATGTATAACAAGACAGGTTAATCAAGACTCTCTATCTTTGTTTATGTTCAGATCTTTTTTGGTATTAGTGGTATGTTTCTTCTAGTTTTGAATGCGGTTTTCGCTTATCTTCTGTCATTGAATCAGATCAATCATGTGAGTAATTAAACTTCTAGTTTTGAATGCGGTTTTCGCTTATCTTCTGTCATTGAATCAGATCAATCATGTGAGTAATTAAATGGGACATAACTAGCAAAAGTATCGCTTATCTTCTGTCATTGAATCAGATCAATCATGTGAGTAATTAAATGGGACATAACTAGCAAAAGTAGGAGGAAAAAACAAACGTAAAATTCACATAGATGTCTAAGAGGTATCTGACAGAGACTTTTTTTTAGTTACAATCTATTATGAGCTAAGGAAAATGTTTTCTGAAATTAAATCAAATCATCTATAACTTAAAATGTAGAAGTATGTACAGGGTCTATGATTCTATGGACTACTATGTCATTGTACAATATCGACGAGGTTGGTGTGAATTTTTCTAAGATGGATGTATACAACCGTGTGGTTAGTGGATGTTGGTAAAGCAATGTCACAACATTAGGACACAAATTTATTTTGCTTGTCAACTTGACTTGGGCTGGATATCGGTTCAATCTTAGTAAGATGGATTATTTCAATTTAGGGTTGTATCATTTCACAAATTGCTCCACAAATCATTCTCTGTGATTATTTCAATTTGGGGTTGTATCATTTAAGTACACTAACCTATGTCAGGAAAGTGAGTAATTAAACATGTGAGAGTAATGAGGAGAAGACTATGGATGAAAAAAATCACAGAGAATGATTTGTGGAGCAATTTGTGAAATGATACAACCCCAAATTGTAATAATCTATCTTACTAGATTGAATCGATACCCAGCCCAAGTCAAGTTGACAAGCTGAAATAAATTTGTGTCCTAATGCAGTGACATTGCTTTACCAACATCCACTAATCACACGGTTGTATACATCTATCTTAGAAAAATTCACACCAACCTCGTCGATATTGTACAATGACATAGTAGTCCATAGAAACATAGACCATGTACATACTTCTACATTTTAAGTTATAGATGATTTGATTTAATTTTAGAAAACATTTTCCTTAGCTCATAATAGATTGTAACTAAAAAAAAGTCTCTGCCAGATACCTCTTAGACATCTATGTGAATTTTACGTTTGTTTTTTCCTCTTACTTTTGCTAGTTATGTCCCATTTAATTACTCACATGATTGATCTGATTCAATGACAGAAGATAAGCGCTACTTTTGCTAGTTATGTCCCATTTAATTACTCACATGATTGATCTGATTCAATGACAGAAGATAAGCGAAAACCGCATTCAAAACTAGAAATTTAATTACTCACATGATTGATCTGATTCAATGACAGAAGATAAGCGAAAACCGCATTCAAAACTAGAAAAAACATACCACTAATACCAAAAAAGATCTGAACATAAACAAAGATAGAGAGTCTTGATTAACTTGTCTTGTTATACATGATTTCAAGTGAATTCGAGGCAATTGACCTACAAGTTTTATCTTTGAAAACCCAAATTATACCTTATCATTAGATTTCTCTTCACCAGTTGTAACAGCATACAAGTCATCCTCAGAACCATCAGTAGGCCCCTTTGGCCTCAAAGGATCCCTGTGTTTAAACCGTTTTATTGCACAAATTAACAAACAATTAAAGACATCATGCATTAATTAGGCAGAAAGTCAACATCATAATACTCACCGTTCTAGGCCTTCATGCCCCCATTGCCCCCATTTCCCATGCTCGAATCCTTCTGATTTCTTGACCACGAAGCTTTCCCGACAAACCAAAAAAAATCAACTGAAAATGAACAAAAGAACGAAAATCAACTAACAAATGAACAAAATCAAGATCCTTAAACTCACCGTTTTGGTTCTTTATAAGGTTGACGATCGAAGATATTATATTTAGAGCTCATCTTCATCAAATAATACTCCGACGCTTTGTCAACATACCCACGGCCAGGATGAAAGTATTTCCGGCTCTCGCTCTTGTAGTCGCTCCGGCGGCCTCCGATGACGCCGGACCTCCTTCCTCCGTACGATTTTCGTCGTCCTCCGCCGGTCGACGGCTTCCGGATAT